AACTTGCAAACTCTGAAAAACATACCCTCTACCCTCATGACAGAAAAGGACATGCAGTCATCTCTTACCAGTATTACAGACGTGCGTAATATATAGTCAAAGATCAATACAACAGAATTTCTATTTATAAAACATACAGTGGGTATGGAGAACGAGCTTAAAAGTATGCCAAGCATTTCCGTAATAATTGTTTGGCTGCAAGCACCTCATTAGTTCTATATGCATTTCCTTTGAAGGTACTCAGGAGACCCCTGAGAAATAGTAGTTTAACCTGGACATGAACTTGTTTGTGGCAATAAGAGCAACACTGTTCCCAAGTTAAAATCCCGAGGTACAAGCAGTGGGTCCTCTCTTCTTCAGGGGAGCACTGAAAACTAATTAATAACATCAGTTTCCTACTGAGTAGAAATTCACTTTATGTGACCTTGCAGATTAGCACTTACTAGCTCACTTCTTTTATTTTTCCCATCTTTCCTTTCAAAGATCTCCACTGATTATCCTGACACCTGCTGGCAAGGGCAGAGTTGATCCCAGTCTACTTTTCCCTTCAACAACTCTCTCAAATCAGACTTTTTAGAGGTATTTTAAGTGACAATTAAGTGGTAATTCATTTGGTTTAAGTAGTTATAGTACTTAATTTCTAGCATTATCACATAATTATGAGAAAACTGTCAATACTCATCCCATATGGGTAACCATTTGACTCTTTGTATATAAATGCATGTTTGCTTTAACCAACAGATATTAAAATCATTACACGGGCAATGATTTAAAAAGCTAAAACTAAAAAAACATGCTAGGCATCTTTAATAAAACACAGATAAGCACTGAATAATAGGAATGGGTTAGCTTTGATTTTCTACTGTGCTTTTCTCAATGTCAGTTTGCAAACTACTTAGGAAATAAATTCAGCTATATAGAGAGTAAATTTATTAGCTTTGACAGAAGCCATGCCATTGATTAGATACTTCCGAAATTTGTTATTTGTTTCTTAGTACCTACTCATTCGGATTTACTTTGGCTTGAACTGAGTTCTGAAGCTTGCATTATTTGTTGTTGTTGTTGTTTGTTTGTTTCATTTTGGCAAGGATACAGTCTAATGAACCTACTACCTCATAAATCATACTTGGTGCTATTGCACCTGCAAGTGTGTTCAGTGAACAACATATATCAGAATTAGTTTTTTAGGTTTTAGAAACTCTCAAATCTAGCACGTTTTTAAAATGATAACATAGACAGTCCATCCCATTATTCAAAACCCTGAAAAAGATAAAAAGTTTTAAAATCAATTACCTAATGAAAAATTTTATATTAATATCAGTGAAGTTAGGAGTTTGGGCTACAAATTTAGACCCTCAAAGCTGTTAGCTCATGTTTTGTAATGGTTGTGAGTAACCATGCTATGTTATTTTAGCCATGTATACCTTATCCCTTTACTTTGTGCTGCTATAATTTTGTGAGGGGAAATCATGTTTCTAGGGATGAAAGCAAATTTTATGAATAATTTATTAAAAAATACCCAAGGTCCTAAATACATGTTTTATATGAATAATGATCTTAAGATATTTGAGAAAAATACAACAGAGTTTTAATTTAGAGAAGAGTTTAGAAGTGCTATACGTGCATTTGCCTGGCTTTGAAAATCTTTGTTACTTCAAGGCCATAGAAGGAAGAATAGACCATTTCCAGTTTTTAACCATTGATTTGTATTATTATAAATGTTTTCCCCAAATCATATAAATTTAAAACAAAATGTATTTCAATTCTAAGGAAACATTTCAAGAATAATGTTCAGAAAAAAATGTTCGTGACCAAGGGAGGGAAAAAATGTGTGTTGTACCATGACGGGGCATGACTTGGCCAAAGTTTTGCATTAATGTCAAATAGTCACAGCAGGATACTTTATCTTCCCTTAATTATTACTTTGAATTCAACATCTCAAAATTATTTTTAAAGGTTTCAACAGGAATCTAAACTTAGCACTTACTTTTAAAGTATAAAATTAATGGCCAAGTAAATTAAGTAATGAAGACACTAATGTGTAATACTTTTTTAAACACATAAAAAACTGTTATTTCAGCATAAATATTACTATAGTAATCGTAGAAGCATAAAGTTGTTATGTCCAGTGAGATTGTTCAGGTACTAACTTATTTTCATGTAGAACTACCTAAAAATCGCCATTTATTAAAAAAAGGAAATGCTAATGCCAATGATTCATAGTATTTAGGACATGTCTAGACATTTTTAGACAGTGCCATTTGCTTAAAGACTTCATGCACAAGCTGCAGGCACAGGGGCAGATTGCATAAGATGTCACGTGCTTGCTGCAACTGTATGCATGTTATTGGATTTTTTAGAGCAACCCATAACGATGAATAATTTAAGAGTTAATAAAATATTCAATCTGACTGATCCATTGGTTTAATTTTAAAATAAAAATGACTAATAAAAAGAATTGCATGCCCTTATCAAATCCCAGGCATTAATGCATGGAAATTGCAACCCACACAGGGAAACTCCAATTTCTAAAAGGCACACATTGGATAAATGATGTGTGCGTGTTGTGGGGGGACGGGGGTGGGGGGCGGGAAATTCTAAGTGTTACCACTGGCATCGGTAACTTTGCTCAAAGTTTAATTGCTTGGAGCTGTCACCCCAGCTGCACCCTGCCTTCTGCAGGGCTGAAGGAAAATAAACAGATTGGTGCGAGTTTAACACACATCGCTTATGGGAAATGGTGTTTCTTCCTAAGGCCCTCTTTCCCTCTCCCCACAGGCTGGCTGAAGGAGAAGCCTCCTGAAGAATTTGGAGTGCACAGCTGCCCGGGCGTTGTCCAGGAGCCTGAATGGGGGGGCCAGGCCGCCTCACCACGGGGGGTCTGTCTGCAGGGACCAGCTGGGCCCTAACCCTGGTATCTTTAGGCAGAGCTCTGGGCTGCAGCGAACCGGGACTCATCCTGCCCCAGGGCTCCTGGAACCAGACCCAGCTCGGCTACGGCGGCGGCGCGAGCAGAAAGCAACCACCTCCTCCGCCTCTGCCGCCCCCACCTGGGAGCCGGGACAGACGGGGGCGGGGGCGAGGAGTGGGTGCTGCGTGCGAGGCGGCGAGCGCGTGTTTTCGGGTTCCGGGTGGGAGCGGAGGCAGGCGCGCGGGGAGGAGAGGAGTGCCTGCAGTTCTCCCCGTCTCCCTCCAGCTCCGGGGTCAAAGTGCGGGAGGAATGCAGACGGGGAACGAGAGAAAGGGGACTGCCCGCCGTGGGAGCGCTGTCCCTGTCACGTCGCGGGGGACTCCGCCGAGCAGCTGCAGAGCCACTGCCACCGTAACCTTCAGTGGAGTGGCCGCTCTGCCCGACCGCCGGGAGGGCACTCTGTAAGCGCAGGCGAGGTACACACCTACACACCTGCCCACACCGGGCGAACGGCCTCGCTCGGGGAGGGAGGGCGCCGCGGGGGAGAGGGCGGCGGAGCGCCGCTGGCGGGGCGCGGAGGCACGTGGCCAGGCACCGCGCACGCCGGGCTTCCTGCGT